AGAGTTTTCTAGTTTTAGTTCTTATATTTAGATTATTGATCCCTTTTTTGTTAATTTTTTATATAGAGTGAGGTAGGGGTCCAACTTCATTCTTTTGCATGTGGTTATCCATTTGTCCCAGCACTGTTTGTTGAAGAGACTATTCTTTTCCCCATTGTGAATGGTCTTGGCACCTTGTCAGAAATCAACTGGCCATGGATATCTGTACTCCCTTCTGTTCCTTTGGCCTGTATGTCTATCTTTATGGTAGTAACTGTTTTAATGACCATAACTTTGTAGTCAGTTTTGAAATAAGTAGTGAGAGTCCTATAACTTTGTTTTTTCTTTTTCAATATTGTTTTGCAATTTTTTCCCCCATTTTAGCAAAATGGGCCATTTGTATTTTGATCAGGATTATATTGACTATATGGATGACTTTGGAGAGGATTGCCCTCTTAACAACATTAAGTCTCCTAATCCATGAACTTAGAAGTCTTTTCATTTAATTAGTTTCGATTAACTTCCTTAGCACTGTTTTGTAGTTTTTAGTGTACAAATCACTTCCTGGGTTAAATTTATTTGTAGGTATTTTATTCTTTTGGATTCTGTTATAAATGGAATTGTATTCTTAATATCCTTTTTAGATTGTTCATTGCTGGTGTATAGAAACACAATTGATTTTTGTGGGTTGATTTTGTACCCTGCACTTTGCTGATGTATTAGCTCTGGTGGTAGTTTTTTCTTCATTCTTTGAGATTTTTACATCTAGGGTTATGTCATCTGCAAATAGAGATAGTTTTACTTCTTTTCTCATTCTGATGCATGATGTTATGTTTCTTTTTCTTACTTAACCCCTCTGGTAGGACTTTCAGCACAATATTGAATAGTAATGGTGAAAGCATCATTGTCTTATTAAGGGGAAAGCTTTCATTCCTTCACCTTTGAGTATGATGTCATTTGTGGGTTTTTAATAAATGCCCTATATCATGTTGAGGAACTTCTATTCCTAGTTTTTTGGGGGCTTTTCAAAGGCAGACTAGTCTCATGTCCCATCCTCCCTCATGTAAAAAAATGTAATCCTCAATGCATAGCTCATTTTTTTTTGTTCAGTAAAGGTCTGCTAAATTGTACAAATAAATGGGCTTGCCATTTTTTTTCTTAAGTGCCTGTAATAGTCTTATTTACCATAGACTGCATTCCTTAGCTTTGCAACTTCAGGTTAATTTCCTTTTTAAACAGAATGTCTTTAAAGGATTATCAGATTTGTTTGAAATGAGTATTCCCTGTTTTCTGTTATTTGTACTAGTTCTGTTACAGTCATCTCACATTTCTGTCAAACTATTGTAAAACAGTTCTTTGGATTAAAAATAAAATTCTCATCCATTCAGACTCATTATGGAAGATTATCAAGAGTTAATAATAAGTCTTATGTTTGAGGTTTAAATTTCTTGGCTTTTAAAACAAAGTTTTATAGGGGTGCCTGGGTGGCTCAGTCGGTTAAGCTACTGCCTTCGACTCAGGTCAGGATCCCAGGATTCCAGGGTCCTAGGATCGAGCCCCGCATTGGGCTCCCTGCTCAGCTGGGAGCCTGCTTCTCCCTCTCCCTGTGCTCCTCCACCTGCTTGTACTCTCTGACTCTCTATTTCTCTCTGTCAAATAAATAAAATCTTTAAAGTTTTATATGAACCTACTTTAGGAGCTTTAGTATGCCTTTAAATAAGCACACATATGTATATTTGAACACAATAAAATATTAATCATTCAGGCTATAATACCAGGTATGATTCATATAGGGAGGAATTAGACTTGACCTTCACATTATCTGTGAACAAAAGATTTGCTAAGTAACCTAACCAATTGAGACTTGCTTAACAGTGTGAATTTTTTTTAGGGTATTATGTAGCAATTGAATGCCATTAAAATTAACATTATCCTACCTTGCTCTTTTCAGTCTTTTTTTTTTTTAAGATTTTATTTATTTATTTGTCAGAGAGAGAGTGCAAATGCACAAGCAGGGGGAGCGCCAGGCAGGAGAGCAGGCTCCCTGCTGAGAAAGGAGCCTGCTGGTGGGACTCGATCCCAGGACCCTGGGATCATGACCTGAGCCGAAGGCAAATGCTTAACTGACTTGAGCCATCCAGGCGTCCCTCTTTTAATTTTTTTTTTAAAGATTATATTTATTTATTTATTTGACAGAAACACAGCAAGAGAGGGAACAGAAGCAGGGGGAGTGGGAGAAAGAAGCAGGCTCCCCTGCTGAGCAGAGAGCCCGATGCGTGGCTCGATCCCAGGACCCCTGGGATCATGACCTGAGCCGAAGGCAGATGCTTAACGACTGAGCCACCCAGGCGCCCCCTTCTTTTCATTTTTTAAGAGGCCTGTCCTCAGTTAATTTGATCTAAATTTATTTTTTTTTTCATTTTCAAATATTTTACATTTTATGTAAAAACACTTCATTAATGGAAATAGACAACAGAGATATCTTAAAATCTCTAATATATGTCAGATACTTCCTGATAGGGAAATGCAGAGAAATGTAAGAAATGTCTCTTTTGCTGTTTTGAGGTTTGCATTCTATTGGTGAGACAAGAACCTGGATAGGAATTCTTAAACGGAGAGCTGTGAACCCCCAAATTTATGTATATGTGAAATTTTCTGGAGAGTGTTTATTATAAATTCCTTTAGATTATTTTTAGGTATCCACGATCATAAAATAGTAAGAATCACTGCCCTAGAAATTGAGTAGCATAGTATTTAGTACTTCCTGCAGGATTTGCTTATTAATGCTTCAAAACCAAGCAGAGAGAAAGTGGTCAATATATATTTTTTACTATTTATTTAAAGCTTAATAGTAGTTATAGTAGTAGTAATCAAATGCAGGAAGTAAATAGTTAAGTTCTGCTGCTGATGAAAGTTACCATTAATCTTTAGTGAGAATTGTATGTGTTTAATATCAGGAGTAGTAGATCTATGAAATAATTCTCTATGGTTAAAGTTTTGCTTTTTTGGGGGGGTTAAAGTTTTTTAAATCAGTAAAGAAGTATCACTCTACTAAGAAAATTTGGGGAGGGAGTATCTGTATGCATTTGCTTTAGCTATAGGGATGTGGATGATTTGAACCATAACATAAAACATATTAACAACTGGAACTAAGTGCTATTAAATAGCAAATATGCATTACATTATGCTATAAGATTAACCAAACAACATTCAACAAACTAAATCATCAAGGAACTAATAGATATTAATTCATTTTTAACTCACAAGAATAGTTGCTATTGAAAACTACACCAACTAAACAACAAAATATGCTTACCTCCAAATTACAGAAATTCCCAGCTATCTGCATATGTAAGGGCTTTGCAAGTTTGCATGAGAGCCAGACTTCTTAGTAGAATGCAATTTCAAAAATTTTGGGAAACTCAAATTGCACCAAATTTTCCTTGCTGGTATATATGCCTATCCAGAAGCTATTGCCAAAAATTCCTATAGCTTTTGTTTATTGGATTAGTTGAGATTTTATCCGTTTTAGTTTCCAGACCTTTTAAGATCACCTTTCCCTTTTCCTTTCACTCCATCTGCAGTCACACTGTAACACTTCTCTAAGTTTACTTGAAGCATCTGCTGTAATTATCCACTGTTGCTATATTTAGTATAATAAAATCCAGCAGTTGTATTAACTTAAGACTGGGTAGACAGGTTTAATTTTAAATGTTTCACTCTTAAGATGTTTCTAGTGGAATACTAACTGAATTTCTTGGAGGTTTTTGTTTGTTTCCTTTCAATACCCTTTCTTTAGAATTAGTAAATTTAACTAACATCTAGCTAAAGGAGAATAACATTTATACTAAATGTTGCTGAGGGACCTGAATAAACATAAATAAATCTTACCTGGTTAGGAGCTTTTCCAAATACTCCTAGAACACATGAGTAAACAAACAGCCTTGATAAAAGCAGTTCTTTCAGTATTGGGGTATGAAATGGAAGTTGTTTTATTGTGGAGTGGTTTTCTTCTTTTATTTTATCAGAAAACAATTTTTTCTCAGGAAATGTTGTTAAGTGTTTATGTCTTATTATGGTTCTACATATGTTAAGCTAGTTATATTTCAAAGTTATATATGAATATTTGAGAAAAATAAAATAACCGTAAAGTACTTTCAAGATTGAAAGTCTTATGTCTATTTATATTAAGAATTTGGTGCGTTGACTATAGTTTTAGCATTCCTTTTCCTCACTAACACATGGAAGCAGAAAAAAAAACTTCCTAGTATTTTTCCTTTTTTTTTTTCAAACCAGTACCCAACTGGATGGATTCTCTTTGCAGTACTTTTCTAGTACTCTTAGAGTAAAGTGAAATTCATTCCTTGGTCTGGAAGTCCATACATAAGCTGGCTTTTTTTTGCCTGTCGTACTGCTCACAGCCTCTCTGGCTGTTTTGATGCTGACATTTTTTTCTCTTCTTACAGTATGCCAGCCTGAGTCCTTCATAGCATCCTTGCACTTGCTGTAGCTTGTGTCTAGAACATAACTCGCCCAGGTTCTCTTGTAGTTGTCTTTTTGATGTTTAGATCAAGACCACCTCTCTAACACTCAGTACAAATTACTGTAATACAATGTCATTATCATGCCATGCGTTTTTGTTTTCTTCATAACACTTACTGTTATTTGGGATTATTTTACTTCTTTATTAAATTGTTTCTTTTCTGCCTCCTTAGTGGGGAGTATAGAGTGTAAGTTCGAACTAAAATGAAGAGAAAATGTCTTTTTCATTGTACCCTGAGTATTGAAATTCTGGAACATCACTTGATACATAGCACTCATTAAATAGTTGCTGAATTTATGAATTAGTTGTTCTATCTGTAAGTATTAGTTATATTCTGAAGAATATTGTAAAGGACTTTTGGCTTATTTTGGGATAAATGTCAACATTGTAGTATTTCTACTTATTTATCTTCTTTTGCTGGTTGTTAATAAATAATAACTTAATCTTAATATCTAGAATTACATCTCATTTTTGACAGGTTGACTTTGGCAGAATATCATGAACAGGAAGAAATTTTCAAACTTAGACTAGGACATCTCAAAAAGGTATGTGAAGCATATGCTCAATTTTTAGTTTGTTACCAGAGGTTGTGGAGAGATAAGTCTCTTCTTGGAAAAGTCATCTTAAGAGAGAAAGTACCCAGAGTTTAGACCAAAAAAGACGGGTATTTTTAAGTTGAATATATTAAAATAACATTCCTTTACCTTGTGGCAGCGTACAAACATTGAGATGCTGATAATACCATGTCCCTATAGTGGAGAAGTGACTCCTGGCCAGACATTTAGGGTCTTAGGATTACTCTGTTTAAATACTGTTTTTGTAAAAATGCTTCATTTTTAAGATGAAATGTAAATTTCCATATTGTTTGTATCCATTTATAATAAACTGAAATAAGGATAAATTAATAACAAACTTGTTTCTTTGGCTTAACTTTTAAGCTATCAAATGCTTGATTAAATGTTTCAATTAATATTTGTACATTGGCAAATTTAGAAGAGCCTACTCATCAGTAATAGTATGAAGTGATATAGTTTATCAGAATGTTGCTATGTGTTGTTATAGTCAATTTTTATAATGTATAGCTTTGTACTGATTTGTAAACTATGAAATTGTAATCAGTTCATTGTTTTTACAGTTCATATTTTTAGTTCAAACCATTTCAAATTAATAATAATAGAGTAGATTTTCCCACTCAAAATGAAGTTCCTGACAGATGTAAAATTCTTTTTCTTTGGCCCAAATTTTTATTCTGCTTTTTGTCACGTTACTTACATATTTTTTTAATAGGCTGAATAATTGCTAAAATTGAGATAGTGAACTAATCAAAGATGGATAGCTTCAGTGAAGTTGTCTTCCTGGGGTGGGGTGAGGTAGGACAGAAAAACCCATTCTGGTAGCAGCTGCTATCATACTGTGTACTGTTTTGTTTTTTGGAATACTAGCAAGGTTCTTCAGACCCCTACCCTTCAGTTACAGGGATAAATAAATATATATATATATATGTATATATATATATATATATGTAATTTGCATTAGTGTTTTTTAACTGTGTCATATCTGTCTATGCCCCTGCTCAGAAAAGTTTCAACCCCAAACTACTTTTAACACTAAATTCTAACATAATTTATTCTGTTCTTTTTTTTTTAAGGTGTATTTTGTTTTGTTAAAATTACTATTTTTCCTGTTCTTTGAGATACAGTAGACAACTTCAGTCTATCCTCTGTAGCAGATGGAGTTGTAATGGGACTCTTGAAGGATTTTGTAGTACAGAATTACTATCGGTATTTGTGTGTCCACCTAAGCTATTTTGATAATGAACTCCTCTAGACCTATGTTTGATGTCCCCTGTAAAGATTTATAAATTATTTTCTAACCAGTGTTTCATGATAATGGGATACTTTGAGGGTTATTATTTTCACATATAATAGTTAATTTTGAATTACTCTTTTTAGTGATGAGATTTTATGTGTGTGTATCGTATTTTATGAAAACCTGTTATATAAAATCTGAAATTATAAAGCAGTTAAATTAGGAATTGGTGATTTGTATTACAAAAAATACTTCACTTTTTGAAAAGCTTCAGAGAAGGGTTTGCTTTTGGTTTTAGTTGGTTGTGCTTGGTTGATTTTAAAGCTTTCCTGGTACTTTGAAAATACTCTGTTTCTCTGAAACACTTCTTTGTAAGTGTTCTAAAGTGAGGTATACTTAAATGTCTAGATACTATATAAACAGTTGTAAGCTGTTGTAGAACACCACGCTTTGACTTCTAACTTCCATATTAGCCTCTTTCCCTGTTTGACTTCTCCATTTTTTGTATTTACTCATTCTTTCTAATAACTGTCCCCGCCATAATCTTTTTCCTGTTTTATTTTTTTCAGCTTTTATCAAGATTTACTGAGCAGCTCTAGATTTCTAACTTTATCTTCTTAACCAGTTTACAATATTACTTTTCTTTGACCAACATCATGGAATATTTTGGGAGAGTGGATAAACTACTAACGCTGAAATATGCTGTCATGTCTTGAGTTCTCACATTTTACTCTTAAGAGGCTATTTTGGGTGAGAAGAATGAATGCATCATAAAGAAAGTTGTTGGTAGTACATGCAGGGAACAAAATTGAGTTAAGTGGTGTCATCTTAGAGCACAAATAGCAGTTGCCTGCTTACCACTGGGTATTAATTTTTGAGTGGCAAAATTAAGTAATAAGCATTAAGTCACATGTTCTAAAAATACGTTATTTGGCATTCTAAAGCACACTTGGAAAATAGGCCATTAAAATAGGTCATTCTGTTTTCTAAAAAAGTAGATTGGATACTTTTAACAACATAGAGAACAAGCTTCAGTTAAGAGAAAAGCTGTTATCACCTCTATCTTATCAGCTCCCTGTGCTCCCGGGTTTATTAACCTGACATGAACTGTACCCAGCTTGTAACTATATAGTTCTACCATAGGCTGGTTCTGAGACAGGAGTATTTGAGGTCCTTGTACCTGCACAGGAATTAACCTGTACTGTGTCAGCTTAGGGTTTAGATTTGGAGCCCAGCATACTCTTGCTCTCTCTCTGTCTGTCTTTAATAAACACTCTTAAAGTTCAGTAGAATTATTAGATTAAATTTGTGGGCACCAAAAGAGAAACCTTGTTTCATTGAGGAAGCCCACGCTGTTTGGACATATGAGACTAGAAGGCCTATTTACTTTTTCTTGAAATGAATAATTTATGATGTGCTTTGTATTTTATAAAGATCATCATCATAATTGAATAGGTAAACTGAAATATGAAAAAATATATTTACCATTGAATAAATCATAAAGCTCAGTTCACATTCTGCACTATTCTGCAGGGTTAGAAATATAATAAATCCAGAGCTATTAGTGTGATAGAGTAAGGAATGAAAGTTAAGCAAAAGCCTCCAAAAGTAAGTCTGTGGCTAACATAAATAGATGTTTCTGGGGCTTAAGGGCTTATTAGTTTTCTCTTCTGAGATTAGGAAAATCACTGTGCAGCATCATTTTTTTTTAATATATCAAGAATTCTTTAATATTTTCAGTTATTCTGTTTATGAACTCAATGCTTACTCATTCACTAAGTGATTGATATATTTCCATACTCTGCCTGATACAGGCATGATTCAAATTCCCATTTCAGGAGAATTACATAATATTACATTTTATGGACTTCAAAGTTTTAACCATTCTGGAGTGAATATTAATGTTAACTTTCTGAATGCCAACATCTCCCTATGTTTTGTCAAAACTAAGAAAGCTAGTAGCCGGCAAAGCCAAACATGAACTTTTTTCCACTCCCATTTCAGTGGCAGTACCTATACACTTATTCCTACAGTTCTTCTGTTGTACATAGATAGCAAGTTGATTCATTGTATTCAGAAGAATTAATTCACTTTTAGCATTCTTTGCATGTGTCTTAGAATAGTGGCGGTGTTCGCTTTTTGTTTTTTCAGAAACATGCTTCATTTTCATTGCAGATAAAGGAGAGCAGTTAAGTTTGTCTCTTTCCCTCACGTATTATTTTCCTTGAGTATTGTTAGTGACTGTTACATCACTAGAATATTTAAAAAAAGCTGGTATATTGTTTTTCACTCTAAATTTATTTTTAAAGGTCAACAGAAAAAAACATTTTTAATAAAAACTATACTCTCTAACATAATCTTGCCTTTTATGTAGCTTAAGGATTTAAAAGAATAGAACAGAGAAGAGCTATATAATAAAATATGTGGAGACTATGCAAATTATTCCCAAAACAGTTTTTAAAAAATAACTTTGGTAGTAATTATGTACAAACTTACCCAGTTACCCCTTATTAAAAACTTGTAGTTGCAGCGAGAATAAATTTCTGTCTTTAAAAAGTTGGTTCTTTGAGGCAAGGCTACTAACTATCCCATTTTCTGTACCTGTGCCACATGTGGAATCTGTGGATTTAAGGAAACTAACAAATTCTTTGCCTTTTAGCTCTTATGGATGATCATGTTTTGATATACCAGTCTTTGATACATTCTAGATGGGAATTTATCTTTTTGATGTGAGGAGTTCTGCTAGGTTGCTGTTTGTATAGTTCAGATCATTATTCTGGAATTGAATTTTTTTACATGGATATGCTTTTCTAGGATTGTTACTAAATTAACACAAATAACTTTTTTTAAAAAATCCCTGAAAAACCATCATCCTTGTAATAGATTCTCTCTGTAGCTAATATTTAAATGATACAAGTTACCCATCATAGTATCCCAAAATGATGAGGAAATAAGAATTTTGGAAGTTACTAGGACTAATAACTGTGTCTTGCCACTGCTATTACTCAAGTGTGTGATGTGAACAGCATGCAGATGTGTGTTGCCCTTTATTTAGTCTTCAAGTTTTGTCATCTTCTAGACTTAAAATATTTGATTAGCAGTATGGAATATTAAATAGTGTTAGTAGGGATTGGCCTTAATGTATGTGTTTTGGGTTGTGTGTGTGCATGAGAGGGAGGGAGGGATTTTTTTAGAGAGAGAGAGAGAGATTTATAAGTCCTGAATATAAGTGCTGGAAGTTTTTTTGGAAAAACATAACCAATTTGTAACTGAAACAGTATTAGTCAAGAATCATCAGCACCAACACAAATGTATCTTTGCAGACCAAAGGAATCAGCTAAACAATTTGCAGTCATCTCAATCTCTACTAAAACAAAAATCACATCCAACATGCCACCTGACACCATTTCTTTCTCTCTCTCTCCTTTGCTCCTTGCGATGTGGCATTCATCTCTCCTTGTGCCTCCGTTCTGAAGAGATAACAGTATAGCAACAACTCTGCCACTGAAATCCTGTTCTCTGACCGATATTGGCACCTGCAAAGAGAAACAACCAGTAACAGGCAGCAGCAGCATCAGTATTAATCTTCCATGATGAAATCTTTACAGGTCAAGAACAAGCACACAGCTCTTTTCTCACTCCTTCACAGTGGACCATGCAACTAGTTGAAATGGAAGACAATGGATTGTCTACAAGCCTTTTGAACAGTGGAGAATACAGGGCATTGGTTTTAGGT